ACGTAAAATAGTAAATAACAAACCTTATGAACGCAGGACGCGATGTGATACAGGATTACCAAAATCTTTAGATGTTCATCTAATAAAATCATTTAAAAAAACAATATAGACAATATTTCCAGCCATAACGTGAGCTGTTGTGACAAAACTCTTCAGAATTGGGTAAAGAAACTAGGATTTAGATTTAAAATAATAAATAAACGTCAAGCAGTTATGGAAAGCAGAAGAATAGCGGAATTGCGTAACAAATAATCAGAACAAATAAGTAACTATAGACAAGAACAACGACATATTTTCTATTTAGACGAAACTTGGTATGACACTCACGACACAGTTACGAAAGGGTGGACTGATGGTTCGAGAATGTGTACGCCTGACATGCCTGCAAACAAAGGATTGCGAAAAAACATTTGAAAAAGTGTATGCCGTTGAGATTATTGCTGAAAAGTATGGACACACCATACTGAGACTTTTCCCCTATTTTTGTGATTTTAGTCCCATCGAGTTGATTTGGGAAAAATTGAAACAAAGCATCATGCGTAAAAATAATTTTCCCAAATTTGGTAAGAAGATAATAGAGGCGATTAAAGAAGAAGTATCTAGTATTACCGAAAAAAACTGGGAGGAAAGGATTAAAAAAGTAATTTTAGTTGAAAAAGACTCCTATATGTACGTGTTTATTTGTTCGTTCTTGACCTAATATTATCATAATTGTATTTCCATCATATCGCTTATTCTTCTTCCTGTGTGAAAACCCTGCCACAACGTTATACAAACATTTTTATATTTTATCCAACTTCAACTGACCACAAATAAACCTTATATTCAACGAATCAAGACAGTTTTATCAGTTAGCTCATTAGTATTTATCGAGAAATTATTGTAATGAGTACGGTCTTCATCAGAAAACTGTAACATCCTTTATTTTCTATTTTCCATGTCGCAACCACTGATTTTCTCATTCCTAAAGACTTAGATGTGTTTCCTACACATGGCTATCAATATTTTGCTTTAATTGAACAACCCTCTGTCCGTTGTCTTAGCGTCTTTGATAATATCTTCCGCAGTTGTACACGAAACGTCAGAAATAAATTAATGGAGCATGGGCTGCAAACACGAAAAATAGCTCTGATATTGTAATCTCCTTCTGTGAATGTTTACATTCTTCGGTCAAAATTGAGAAAACCAAATCCTTGTTAGTATTATTATTATTGTTGTTCAAAAAACCATTATTCATTTGGTATAAAAAATATCTTTGAAAATTCCGATGTTTTTTCGTCACTGTGATCATAGATTAAAGGGCGGACCAAATAGTTCCAAATAGTGCCTACACATTCAAATATCTACACATTTGAAACTTGGGTCGAAACTTTCTGAAGGGTCCCGCTGNGAAATAAGCGGATCAATATTTTTACAGACAGCAAGAGCGCACTAGGGGCTCTGACAAACCCGAAGGTGACATCAAAACTGGTCTGGGAATGCCATGAAGAACTGAATGGACTTGCAAACAGGAACAAATTAACTTTGTACTGGGTGCCAGTGAATTCAGGAATCACAGGTAATAATAAAGCTGATAAATGCGCTAGACGCGGATCATCAACTCCATATATAGGTCCTGAACCAGCTCTGGGGTACCAATAAGAAGCACACAGAGTACTGGACAAAAGTACCTGGCAACAAACATAGTGGAACCTTCATTAGTGAACCGTCCGAGAAAAAAAAAACGAAGAAGTACTTCAATATATAGCAGGGATCGGCTTAGAATAATTATAGGGTTACTAACCGGTCATTGTCCGCTTAGAGGACACCTGAATAAAATGGGGCTGTATAACGGAGACCTCAGCTGCAGATTATGCAACGAAGGGATAGAAACATCTTATGCGAATGTGAGGCACTGAATCACAGGAGGCAGGCAATATATGGACGTACAAAATTACGTCCAGATGAATATGACGAACATCCAAAACGGAACCTGTACAAACTAGTACAGGGAACTGGACTGATGGAATGGGTGTCATGAGAAGATGGGAGAATAAACGTAATGAGCCCAAGAGGCTGCAGTGTTTTCTGGAGACTTTTTTTTGCAGAAATGGACAAGTCAAGAAAGCTCCCAAGGTACCAAAAAAAATCTCCTTCTGTGAATGTTTAGTGTTATTATTATTGTTGTTTAAAAAACCATTATTCATTTGGTATAAAAAATATCTTTGAAAATTCCGATGTTTTTTTCGTCAAACTGTGATTAAAGGGCGGGCCAAATAGTTCCAAATGGTGCCTACACATTCAAATATCTACACATTTGAAACTTGGGTCGAAACTTTCTGAAGGGTCCCGCTGAATATCCCAATGTCCCAATCACCGTCCGAAAATTAAAGGAATCGAACGACGAAGTTCTGCCTGGCTCACCATACCCTCCAGACTTCTCGCCAACAGACTAGTATTTCAAGCACTTCGATGAATTTATCAACGTTAGAACTTTTGCCAATCAGGACCAGGCAAAAACGGCCTTCGTCGGCTTCATCGAATTCTGATATTACAGTTTGAAGTAGAATTTCTGATGTTTGTGTAGATATTTGAAGCTTATTGAAAAGATAAAAGAATCATTTTTTCAATAATTCAACAGGATCTGAAAAACTTAGCAAGGTGGTGTGATGAGAACAATTTGAATATTAATATTGGTAAATGTTGATATATCAATTTTTATAAATTAAACAGGAAATTTCACACTTCGTACACCATTAAATTCAATGATGATCAGTTGACGAATTTGACGTCAGTTGAAGACTTATGCGGTTTAATTGCTGAGTATATAAATGATATTATTGCAAATATTGCATACCGATTTTATTAGATTTCATTGTCTGCAAATGTTGAGTCAACGAGCACAGTCTACTTTTACTTGTTTCACGATTAGAATACAGATCAATAATTCAATTACATATTAACGAGTTCGAAATAAATTATTTTAAACTTTTGCTTATCCACTGAGTATTATTATTTCGAATATTCTCAACGTAAACTCGTTCAGTAAGAGAAAAATGAATGCTGAAATAACATTCATATATTCATCAACTAATGAAACGGCCTTGGTCTCAGCCTTTGTATAATGTTTCAAGAATAATTTTTGTATTCCTGTTAAAAAACCTTTGGGGTATAATGAACTGATTTCATTTGCTTCTTAATTATGGCAAATTCATACCTTCAACAATTATTTCTTCTGTTATAATAGGGGAGCCCAAGCGGGGATTTCGGGATTTACTAAAGCGCAGCAGATTAATATACAGGGGGATACCTTGTACCCGGTTGAGTACCTCCACCAAATATGAGCCCCCATATATAGGGCCTCTGCAAAAAAATTTCTGTTGGCAACATTTTCTTTGGAATAGAACTAAAGTCCTCATAACTCCATTTTGTTAGTTTATTTCCTTCGAGAGATAATCTGGCCCAGCTTATACCAATTGGACTCAAATGGATACCAGTAGCAGAATTTAGTTCCTATTTACAAAAAATTCATTTTTGAGTCACTTCACAAAATTGTAATATATTCGAAGGAATTGGCCGATACTGGATATGGTTTGATTATACCTACAGCTTTTTTGGGATTGTTGAATGTAGTTATTTTAGAGTGGAATTCTTAAAGTCAGAACTTATGAAAATGCCAGACATTCATGTTGGGGGAGCATTGGGAAACTTAATGAAAATAAATAATGGCCAACAATTCCAAAGAACAATAGATATATTCATTCATTATATTTTAAATAACTTGCTGGTTAGAAAAGCTTTCCTATTAAGTTTCCTAATCATTTAATTGTTTTGAAGATGCCATCACCTCCTAATATCTAAACAATAGTTACTGCATTTGTCAACCTAATAGTAACAGTAGATCATTACCTCTGCTAGCCCATTTAGAGGAGGTGTTACTATATGTTTTACTCTCTTACTAGCAGTAACAGATTTGGATTTGCTGGATGTATTATTGTTTGTACATGTGCCAAAAATCATTGCAAGAGTCATCAGATAATAAAGACATCACTACCTTGTTCGGAGGACGACTTTCAAACGTTTTTTAAAATTTCTCAAACTGAGGTCTAGAATATCATGAAATTTCAACAGCGTTCTTTTGGAGGTTAGCACCAACTGGAAAAGCGCCATCTATGTGTTAGGCCCGAGACTTTCCAACCCATGTAGTATATATTTACAATTTGAATTATCAGAATTTCAAGTTTACCTATACAATTAATGCTGAAAATGTACCTGATTTTGAGAATAAATCAATTAACATTTACATAAGAAAAAAAGAATAAGTATAAGTTTCTACATTTGAAAAAATATTCAGTAACGGGGAGTTAATTTCCAAACATTCTGAAAGAGTGAGTTTCCTTTTCTAAATGTAACACGTCATAGTCATGGTTGATTTCATGTCCTTCTGCTAAAAGGTGGTTTGCAAATATGGAATTGATCTTTCCATTCAACAACTACTTCTATTTCCATTGAGAAAAAGTTCTCCTCGTTTGACCAATATAAAGTTTTGGCTAAGAGCCACAAGTCGACTTATATAATTATATTTTGCAAATTGAGGTATGACAAAACTTGAAGCACCTCTAATATGATGTACTTGGTCACGTTTTTAGCTCAATTTTGGTTGATATAAACGATCGATGAAATGATATGTTCGCACTGTCAACAACTTGTTGTATTTAAACATTACCATTAATTGTTTTTTATACATGGTCAAACACCCGAATGAGAAATTGATGTGAAGACTGAAAAATTGAAAGAAGAAGTAAAACAAAGGCTCGGAAAGATAAATGGTTGAAAATTTGATGTTGCTTAGTGGACATAAACATCATAATTATATCCCGTTATGAAACATGGCTGAATTGATTGGAGATGTTTCGGTTACATCGTTCATAAATTTAAAATCGTGTGAATGAAGTTACCTTGCTAGTTCAATGGAGCCATCTGAATAACATACTGCTCTGACACACCAGGGTATTGTTTTGGTCTCTCCATGTTTTATTAGCCCAGTATCGTTAGAGTTACAGTGTCCTGGATGATCTGAAAATTATCCAACTTTTTACATTTTCTCCATGATACATTTTCATTTATAATGAGACCAAGAAATTTAGCACTAGGAGAGTATTTAATATTTTCATTATTAAATTTAAATGGATCTTTTGAGTCAATTGGCATAGACCTTTTTGATATGAAAATTTCTGAAAATTCAGTATTATTCAGGGCATTGAAGCCATATTTGATCGAGGTCTTTTGAAATATTAATTTTGATTTCTTGTATAATATTTTCATTGTAAATTATAGTAGTGTCATCAGCAAATATTTGTAACTTACCAAATAAATTTACTCCAGCCAAAGAATTGAAATAATATATTGCAATCACATGTCTTACCTGAATTATTAGGATCTCTTCCTAAGTGATAAACAGCTGCATTCAAACCCACAATGAATGTGGCGAAAACACAAAATAAAACAGTGTTCATCTCAGAGCTGCAAAACTTTTTCAATAAATTCACTTAGAAACAATATTGTTTTTGCAAGATATTCGTGTTTGGCAAGAAATCTCAATGATGTTCAAAGGTTGAGGTCAAATAGTACATTTCGTAATCGAATAACATTTTTAGACTGATAATGGAAAAAATTGCTTAATTTTGGACAGAAGTAAATAACCCCGAAACATAAAAGTCGTTAAAGCTAGGCAATCAGGTGACACGAGTCGATTAATTCCGTCAGCATAAAAATTATCTGCTCAGGATTCGATAAAGTCTGGAAAGATGGTAGTCAGTTGGCGAGAGATCTGGCGAGTATGGTGGGTGATGCAGAACTTCGACGCTCAATTCGTTTAATTTTCGGACGGAGGTTTGTGAAACGTGGGAAGTGCTTGGGTGGCTCATCGGTATTCGACCACCACCCCGAACGTTTCCTGTTGTTGTAGTAGATCCACTTTTCATCACACGTGACGGTCAAATCCAAAAAGGATCATTATGGTTCATTATGCTACCAAAACGTCTCTCCTCGATAGAAAGACTCAACATTAACACTATTATTGCCAAGTACCTTGTTGATTTTTTGGACTCTTTCGACAGCGCTTTGGTTCAATTTGAATCCACAGAGAAAAATTGGCCGAAAATCGTTAAACAGCATCATACAGTAATAAGCAGAAAACTGTCAAAAAATTAAAATTTGGGAAAAGTGAACAGCACCAATTCTCTATCAATCACTATAAACCACGATACAATTGCACATTATTTTGATTGACGTTCATTTCTGCTTCCAATGGTACCCTAACTCATTATTTTTTGATGAGCATATTCCGAAAAATAGCGTTCTAAACGTACACATGTAATTAGAATTTGCATGTTCTGAGATGCATTATTGTATTAACATTTTTTACTAAAAATGGTTAGAAGAGTGGTGGCACAGGTGGGATTTTTTATTCGTTAGTTATTGTCCTTTTACAAAATAAAATGTAATTCGTGAGAAAGATATTTCAGACATAAAATCTACTCACGCTCATCTTATGAACTGTGTTCAAAATGTAATAAATTCCGTTTTCGTACTCCCCACTAACATTACGGAAAACTTCACTAGGAATTGACTGACATGCTGCTGTAATTTGTCTTTTACGTTATTCAATAATAGAAGGTTGTGTTTTAGAAACAACTAAATTGAAGATGCCCCAAAAAAAGAAATCTAAGAGTGTTGAATCCGGTGATCTCGGAGGCACTTCAACTGCTCCCCTTTTACCAATTCATCTATCCGGAAATCTTTCGTTTAACCACTGTCGAGCGGAAAGAAAATAATGAGGTGGAGCACCGTCCACCTGGAAATGTAACAGATCCTCCTGCAAAAGTTTATTACCTTCTGCATCAGATTGCCAGTCAAGTTTTCTTCCAGAAATAATAGACCAATAATAGTATTTCCAAGAATACCAGCCCAAACATTAACTTTTAGTGGGTTTGTGTATGCCCTTCCAGAAAAATATGTGGGCTTTCGTCACTCCAATAGCGACAATTTTATCTATTAACATTGCCATTCAGAAAAAACGAACATTCATCGCTGAAACAGATGTAGGTATAACAGAAGAGTAAGGTTGGTATTGACTCGATGAGACATGATTTCACAAAACTTTATTCTTTCATCATAATCATCCTCGTGGAGCTCTTGAAGAATCTGTATTTTATAAGGATGAAATTTATGCATTTTCAATGCTTTTCTTACAGTCTCGCGTGACATTACCATCTGTTTTGATATTGATTGTAAGGAGTTCGTGGGCTCTGCAGTAAATGCTCCCAAAACTTCAATTTGAGCTGCTTCATTTAGTACTCTGGTGTTATGTCTTTTTTTATTTGTCACTGAACCAGTTTTCTAAAACTTATTCACCAAATCAAGCACATATACCGGTGACTTACATTACAATTTAGATCTCTTTCATTAAAAAGACATGCTGCCCTTCGGGCGCATTGTCCAACTTCTCCATAAATTATAATCATTTCAATTCAGTCTTGAAGAATGTGAACCATTTTTACACTTATTAAAGTAATCACTAAACAGCCCAAAAGGTATAACTTTATGCACAATACTACCACATCGTTTAAATTTGCAAACCATTTTTTTGACTGAAAACAGAAACTTTTCACAGCAAAAGTAGCACTACCATCTACGTTTTACTATTAGACTACTTTTTGAAGTAAATTGATTGAAGTTAATGGCTAATGTTACCCCTGATAAAGGTGTGGAACGGTACCATCTAATATTCTTACCAGTTCTGGTCAAACCATGCATCTCAGTATAGAGGTACTAATAATTACTTTTGTTAGTTTAGAACGCTATTTTTCGAAAAATACTCATCAATAAATAATAAGTCAGGATACCATTGGAAGCAGAACTGAACGCCAATCAAAATTATGTGCCCCCTTCCTATTTAAAATTCTAAGGCCCCTTCTAGGGCCTTGTTATTTCGATTCCTCATATTGTTTACTGGAAGGAAGATATTGGGGATGGGAAGTTTTCAAATTGACACCCTGTATTGAGACATTGAGCTGCGAAAACACAACATTTTCCAATTCGAAGGTATTTATTTTATTTTTCACAAAATTCCGCAATTTATTCTATTATCAGTTCAACAATATCAATAATAAATACCATTAACCAAATGCACCATATGACCTCAACCTTTCATCACTGAGATATCCTTTGAAATGTAAATATCGTGCAATATTGTTTCTGGGTGACTTTATAGCAGTAGGCGTTTCACTTTGTCGAGATGAACACTGTTCTATTTTTTGTTTTTGCCACATTCATTGTGGGTTTGTATGGAGATGTACATCACTTAGAAAAAGATCCTAATGATTCAGGTAAGAAATTTGGGTGCAGTAAGTATGTAACTGAAATGTAAAAAACATCAGCAGACATTAGATGTTTGCTTGCAAAGACGAGCCTAAAGTAAATTCTATCTCAATTCTATCAAAACAAAATATACATAGTGTCCGTACTATTATTACTAAAAACTGGGAGTTAATATTATTTCAGAACAATAGCAAGTAATAAATTAATTTTTTCAAAGTGAAAAAGGAGCTTTTTCAATGATAAAAGATAGAACTGATCTTACTTTTATGAGTGATGCAATGGATAAATTAGGAACAGGTTATTTCTTGTATTTTTTCTTGTATTTGCATATCCATGAAGCAATCCCTATTATTTACCTTAATAATTTAGTTGAAGACGTTTTGATTTTGAAATATTTTTCTGTATTTGACTAAATTGTAGTTTGTTAAAAAATGTTCATGAAGAATTTCAAAAAATATTACGATGGAATTATCAAAATCGAAATTTAGTTGCATTTTGAATTTGTTGAAAATTATAAGTATTTAAGTTTAGACTTCTCCATCTCCAAACAGAAAATGAGAAAAACTTTCGATGAAAGGAAGAAAACAATCGTGTTCGAAACAAAATCTTCACAAAAATGTGTAAATCATGTATGTGAGCTTGGTTCAAATACAAAATGGAAGATCGGGCCCTTCCGAAATATATACACATGCATGAATAAAGAAGAAAAGAGAATTGAAACTTTCTGTTTTTTACCACTTTTATTTGTAACTAACGTTACTGCAGTTTTGTCATATAAGGAAATTTTCAAACTTATACATTAAACTAATAATGGTTGATTACATTAGCCCTTATATAGCACCCCTGTAGGTAATAATAGAGGTACTTGGCTTGATTGAGTACCTGAATTTTGTTTACTAGTTTCAATGCGGATATGCTAATTTGAAAACCGGTGAGTAAACTAAATCGATGTGAACATTCAACAGGTTGCACCCGCAATGTGTATGCTTGCGAATTTCCAAGGATTGTAAACAATGGAGTTTTTGCAACTCTTCTTTGCATAGTGCAAAATTTTCGTATTGTTTAGATTCGGAAAATTGTGGTTGCATGCCAAGGAATGGTTTGAAAACGTTGAGTCATTTTTTCTTAATCTGAAGGATCTTTCATGTTCAGCATATCGTTTTTGGAAATGTCGATCACATTGTCCTACATAAACACTATTACACTTAAGCTTATAAACTCCAGATTTCTCCAACTTTTCCACTTTATAATCGTCAAAACTTATGCCTATTCTGAGGCTTTTAAGTAAAATCGTACTATAAAAATTGTATTATCGCTATAATCTTTTTAGGACATTGTTTCATGATTTTGTCAACCAAACTTTCACAAAGTAATTAAAGTTAAAACACCAACCGTTTGTATTGGCATGCATACACGCAAAGCTGACAACAAACAGAATATGAGACAATACCTGAATATGACAAAGTCCAAATATGACTTAACCCTGAATATGATGTATCTACACCACAATTATTACAAACACACCTACTGCACTCGCACCCTAAACATGGAATTTACTATAAGTATCGAAAGGAGAAAAATAATGAAATATAAACAATATTATGTACTTATATGCTTCAAAATATATATACTACTTTTTAACATTGTATACTATAGTGATAGTGTTATACTTTTTAGTTTCAAGTTTATATCATATACAAGCGATAGTTTCGTGATTTTTCTGTCACTTTGAACAGTTGTTGTAATAGTTGTTTCGTGCAATTTTTATATGTTTATTTTCCTAATAAATAACATAGTATTTCTCCGAATTGTTTTTTTACAAACTCCGAAATGTAGCACTTTCTAATTGAATAATTAAACCTGACAATATTTTTTAATTTGGATTGAATAAGCAGTTCGATAATGCTCAGTTTAGAAGAAGTCTGTACGGGTATACTGCGTATAAAGTTGGATGAGAATAACTAAAATCGCAAAAAACTTTCACCTCCAGCGTTGTTGAGGAGGTGTACCTTTTTTACTTGGAAAAGGTGTGGCAATTAGGTTTTTTCATGAAAAGTACCAAAAGTTTACTGTAATTTGAAATAATTAATGACAGCGTACGCGGCGCCCTCTATATGTTACATGAAAATAAATACGAAATTATGATTTCCCACGTCAAAAAATCCCCGGATACCGAATTTCGTGCAAATAACTCATTTTTTACAAGAGTTATTTTCAAAAAGCGAACAAAAAATTAAATTTCAACACCCCGTATCTCCGAAACGAAGCATATATACTTTTTCATATATACTTTTTTCTTAAAATTGTCTCAGGAATACGTCACTTGAATATTTTAACGTACTTATGTTACACCCTGTATAAGTAGGTACTTCAATTAATGTAAAATTTTGAACATTCATTATCATTAGTATTATTATTATTATCGCCCTCGAAAGTAACTAAACTGAATAATAAAATCAAATTTTACTTTAAAAATATTTTTTTCTGTTATGTAGAAAACAAAATATTGATTTTTTTTCATTATTTCAGATCATCCAGGATATTGCAACTCAAGCCACACTGGCCTTTTGAAACATGGAGAGACCAAAACACTACCCTGGTGTATCAAGGCAGAATGCCATTCGGATGGTTCAATTGATCTAATAGGGTAATTTTCATTAACGTGATTTTAAAATTTTAAAAGATAAAGATACCCTAGTAGCCTCTTTTTTGGAGAGGCTTTACAAGAGACTATCATTCATATAATAATAAATCTTTAGGTGATAGCAATTTATCCCAATACATCGACTGTTCAAAAAATGATGTGATCGTTCAAATTTCGTGGCCTAAGCTGGTCTCGAACATATGTTTCAGCTGTTTAGCATGTTTAGTTTTTTAGTGATAGGCATAAAAGGTATGCTTTTGTACCACTATAATGCACCGGGTCACTATTCATTGCTTGTTCATAATTTTTTTGCCAAAAACAACACATGCTTCAGCCATCGTATTCACCAGATTTGTCCCATGCGACTTTTTTCCGTTCTCGAGATTGAAGAGACCCACGAAAGGACGGCGTTTTGCGACGATTGGGGAGATAAAAACCAAATCACTGAGAAAGATCAAAGACATACCAAAAAGTGCATATTAGAACTGCTTCGAGGATTGTCGAAAGACAACGTAGAAAGAGAAAATCAAGAGAAAATAACGTGGCTGAAAGGTCTGACCCCTCTGGACCTGTACGTTAAGGAGGTTGCGTTAATGGCCATGTTACGATTGCGCAAGACTGGTGTAAACCTCGAAGTAGGAATGGGTCAATTGAGGCTGAGCCTATGGCCAAGAGCGCTTACTGCGCAACCTCTGCTGCAAGCAACCAGTGCAATCAACCCAAATTTGTGTTTAATAAACCCTACAAAATACAAATAAAACAGAACACAGAGTCAAATGCTACAAATGCAATACGCATATATACAGAAGGCTCAAAATTCAAAGAAGGCTCAGGATGTGGAGTGTACTCCAGATCCCTAAGCCTAAGGATTAAGTGAGGAATGGGAAAAAATACCAGCGTGGTCCGAACAGAACTGGCTGGTCTTGGCCTACACCTGCCGATATAAAGGAGATGTCTCCTAGTGACCTGTCCATTTTCCTGGAAAGGACAGGATGGACGATGACCTAGGAGGACAACTCCTCGGGAGGATGTACAATGGGTCACATGTGGCCTAAGTGCGTAGGCTTACACTCACCCTCCCTACTCTACAGATACAGAACGTGGCTGAAACACAACAGAAAAAGTGAATTTGAAAGAAATAACTCTCACGTTAGTAAGAAAGTACTGAATATTTTTCATAGTACCACCAATTGAATCATTTCAATGTGTACAGAGGATATTATAAAGCAATATAAAATACCAGGTTTTGAAGGGCATAGTTTAATTAAATATATCTTTCTGAGTTATTTGAGTTTGCGTAAAGTGGATGAAAGGCATATGATGGAATTGGCCGATACTTGATGAAAATCCATAACTAACGTATTCAAAAAACACTTTATTGTAAGATTTTCAGTTTTACAAAAATACAACACGTGTTTTACCATACCATGGCTTCTTCAGGCGTGTCTTTACTACCGAAGAAGTCATGATATGGCGAAACACGTGTTGCGTTTTGTAAAACTGTTTGATGAAAATCTCGCAATACAGTGTTTTTTTAATACGTTGGATGAAAGCCAATTTCGATAGTTATGTGTACCCTAAGATAACTTAATTTTAATTTCAGTTGTGGAGTGACTTCAATAGCAACACCTAGAGGCAATAAAAAATGTGAGCCGATCAAAGACAGCAAGAAACCTTATCCTGATTGTTGTGATGACTGCATCGTAGATGAATATTAACTTGCATATGTACCCAATTTCTAATCAAGTACCAATAAAAATAAAGCAATATGATCTAGTAGAAACTTTATTTAATTTTTTGTCTATCAATTTAAACGTTTTTTATAGAAACTTTTCTCGATATTTTCGGTTGAGGAATTACTTGAACAGCGTTGTACACGGTGGCACAATAAACTTCTGTGAACAGCATTAAACCTTCCATCACTTTAACAATGGTAAAGGAAGTCCACAACGAATTACCATCATTAGACGTACTGGTGAAGAGGACCGACACTAAGTGGGAAACATCTGTATACCAGAAACCCACTCACATGGATCAGATTCTGAATCACCAATCCAATCACCATCATTCTACCAAAAGAGGAATCATCAAGACTAGTGGATCGTATTTTCGGGCTCTGTAATACGAAAGAAGGACTCGAGAAGGAATTAGGCATCATCAGAAAAGATCTTCAACGGAATGGTTACTTCAAAGTGATGGGGGAACATACTTTAGCAAATCCTATGTCGGTGAAACGAAGAGGCCATTGAAAGTCCGCATTGCCGAGCACAAGAAAAATAACAAGAAGAAACCAGCAAATCGGAAATAGCAGAGCATGTTTGGACTTATCAACATAACATCAAGTTGTCGCTAGCTGGGATCATCCACAGGGAAGAACACTGGTTTAAGATGAAGTTCAAAGATGCTGCATATATGTTGTCCAACAACGTATTCAGCCAAGCTAGCGTAGAGATACGCAACATATGGAAACCTGTAATCAAGCGGGAAAACGGTCAACTCCCGCCGCTAAATCGCTGATGCGGAGAAATGGAAGAGGGGATAGATGAAAGCGCTCAAACGACCTATAAATAAGACTAGTCCAGTTTAATTTTTTCCTATTATTTTCATTCTTTTTTATTTTTTCTCTCTATGGTCATTTTCATCTTTTATTTTGATTATTTTATTCGTTTTATTGTATTTTCATTTCACGTTCTATTGTTTAGCATAATTGGTATTTTATGGACTATAGGATAATAATCCTACAAAAAAAGCCCTCGAAATATTGGGAAAAATGAAGCAGACTGACAGCTGTATACCGCTATTCAAAAAATGTTACATTTCGACTATTCCAGCTTTATACATATTCCAACATCTTGTCCATCATAAACACAAAACATTACTACAGTGAACATCAACCATGAATATACAACTAGAAATGTCAACCTTTTTATACCGCAGCATCGCCTAGCAATCTAATATATAAAAATGGATGTTTGTTGGTTGGTTGGTTAGTTGGTTGGTTGGTTAGTTGGTTGGTTGGTAAGTGATAAACTTCTACATCGCTCAACCGATCGTGATGAAACTTGACATGTATAGGTAATTTTTCAAGGAGAAGGTTTTTAGGCTATCAATTTTCCTGTAACTCGCCACTAGATGGCGCTGTAAAAGTTTTTCTGAAAGCACTGTTCTATAACGCTGCGCACGCCTGAGTTCGTTGATTCTGATTCTGTCAAAACATCATTAGTTAGGGAAGCTATGGATTATACTGTAGACGACCCCTCCCGTTATAGAAGGCCCCGACACTCTGTCGAATGAGGCCCCTATATCTTCCGTTGAAAGATGAACAACGTTTTCATCCAACTCACCCCTGCCAGGCAGGGATACACCGTGAAGAGCGGTATTGATGTCTGATGAGGACATTCATGCCGCCATACCATAACACCCACCTCAGTCATGACCCGTTTGTCCTTCTGGCAAACATCAGTTCAAAGGGTAAGGGAGCCAGGCTTACAGGGGAGATTAAAGTCATAAATCACAAATCGGGTAAGTCTGAATTGATATTTCTTTTTTTCGGCGCCGGCGGTTCGGGAGTTGAATCAATTGATTCGAAAATATTATTAAAAAATGTATCGTTATTTCTAAAATTCATCAAAATTTCTGTTAAATTGTTTAACCGTTGTTTTGAGTAATTAATATCTGTTGATTTATTTTGAAGAATAGGAAAAACAACATCGGTGTGTTCAAATATTAATTTAAATATTTCTAACAAGAAACAAAACTTGTGATCATTTAAAATATATTTGAAACGGCTCGCCTCCCTAAGACTTTGGTCGTTGGTTGTAAAATCGTCACTGTTTAGGATAAAATCAAAGACATCAATCAATTTGTCTTTGTTTGAATGCACTAAAATTACTGCTCTAGATGTAGAATTCCAACGCGTAGCAGCACCATGTAGTAGCTACCACATATTTCATTTAAAACATGGCTTCTTTTGGTGGATTTCGAAAAGAATGCCAACTAACATTAAATTCTCGATTTTGTCGATTATCTGACGCTTTAATTGAAATCAAATTTGGTCGAGGCCTTCGCAGAAGTGAAAACCTGAAAACACCTTGAAATTGAAAGAAAACACTTTAAAAACACATTGAAAATATTATCAAAAAGCACTGCTATAATACAATACTGCCTGTTTTATACACAAATAACAAATATTATCAAGAAACACCAACACGATTTACCGAAATATTTTTCAGTCTCGGTCCGTCACGGCCTTCCGTCCGAAAAATTAAATAAAAAACAAATGCAGTCGTACACTAACGGAGACCAACTGGAGGCTAGCCTCCTCTAACGCTATTATTTCCGCAACTGAAATTACAATTCAGGACGTATGTCGCTGGTTGGTTCGGTTTCGCGGAGCTTGTGTTTTTCAAAGTCAATATCTTTCAATTTATTGCGATGAATAGCCTCAAATTTTATGGGGAGGCTAAGCCTCCATTGCCTCCTCTGACGAGCCGCTGCTGGTATATGTTAATATGTTCACATGAGTTCAAATATGTATGTGTATTATTGGTTAAGCCACAGCTGAAGTTATGTCATATATTGGTAGTAAATTGTAATTCTTCAGTAAGTTCAGTTAGTTAAAGCACATATAGTTGTCAACGTTATATTTTATAAATCGGGTTAAACAAAAATAAACTCTTGTTTATCTAACAGTTTTATTGTAATTCACAGCTTTCAAGCTCTTAGGATTCTTCAACACACATAAATTCATGAAGCTAACAACTAATAATAGAGCTTGTCCCATCAACTCTTTATTCGAAGATGAATATGAACTGAAAGAATTTTTCAATGCTTCTTCAACTGTGATTGGTTCGCATTTAAGTTTCCATTCAAGTCCACCATCATTTTGCATTAATTCGTTGACTACAGACAAAGTAGAAACCTTTTCCTTCCCTATCAAGGTTTCAAATAACCTGCAAAGCAAATAGAGCAATTAATTTTTGGATGATTCCAGTCTTGAAGGGGAGTAAAAAATTATGAAGGGCATCTTCCAGTCATCTGACAGTTTCAATGAAAAATTAGAAAACTGACACTAACAGTCTTCTATTCAATACTGTTCGCAGTTGAAGGAAATAAATATTATGAAACAAAACACAGGTGATTCTGGTAATTACCTGCCAAAAATAACTACTTTTCTCTAATGTCAAGCAGGATCATGAATTATATCCGATAGTTATGTATGCAAGTCTGGCAGATGTTTCTCATCCATCCAGCAGCAGTACCATGCTGAAATCATTCGACTAGATCACCTACAGACCAGTTTTGAGGTATTTCCTCTCATCAGTGCAGGAAAGATCCGATCCAAACAGCAAAATGTTTGGGACTAGATTGATTTCAACACAGCTCAACTGCATGTACGAAACCTTTGTCTAAGAGAAATGTTGTTAACTAGTGACAGCTCCATCTCGTGAACAAAACGTCAAGCGCAGTTGGTTCCTATCAACAAATTATCTCTCTCTCTCCCAGTATATTCAACCTTTTAGAATTGGATTGTAAATATATTTCACTGTTTTTCTCCAGATATGCATAACCTTTTATGACCATCTATATTGTTATTAAGTTTCACAAACGCTAAATGTGTGCTAAATGAGGGACTGTAGGCATAGTATTACGAGTATTTTGAGATTTCATTTCAATATTCCATTTTTGTGGTGGTGTTGCCAACTAAGTAGAAGGCATAGTACCTAAGGCATATCAGGTAATGCCTATTAGCCTTTAGGTTACCACACCGGACTCCGTACAGGAAGGAACGTGGATATAGACGTTTCCTTCTGCCATAGTGATAGGAGCTGAACGGTCCATAACTATGAATGGACAGAGAAGGACTTTACGAGCGACTGCTGTGACACGTAACTAAGAGACGTACAAGCCAATCTACAATAAACTAAGGCGGCTTAGGCATCATTACGAAGGGTATGCAGAAATTCAATATTGCTCTCAGACAAAAACAAACAGTCAACTGATATATGTATAGGCCTTCATTTGTCTCGTAGTTTTGGCCGCCAAGCTCACCGTCTACAAAAAAAACATCCAATACAGCCCTACTTCATGCACTTCAACATATTTTATGTCACCTTCTGATATGAACTAGTACAATAATTAACTTGTATTTTCTTACCTAGCAGGTAGTTTTGGTTTCAAGAAAAAAACTCTATTTTTAGCAATGCTTTGAACAGTGTTATCTTTCCCCACATTTCTCAGTGATGCATTGTGATTCATACTAGTATTCAGTAGAGCCAGTAACATTGATGTCAGTGCAATCTGTTGATGGAACGAAGAAACAGTCGCTACTTGCCTAGTTGGACTCAATGGTTCGGTGGATTCAAAAATGTACACATCACTGGGTGGTATTCTTTTTACAACATCGATCGCCTGTAAATAAAAAATATTAAATATATCCAAATATTATTAATTTCCTACCTGGAAAGTTGTATTGGATCTGATTCATTCAGAGTATTTAAAACTTTTGTACTCTCTTCTTGGGTAATCTTTGATTCAAAATAGAGTCCATTTGTAGATTCTTTAGAAGTTATTGAATATTTCATCTGAAATGGATAGTGGTGAAAATACTAATGTAAATAATATAATTCTAACAAACCTACAAGTTGGTAGATATTAAGTTTCGGTATTTTTAGGAATGAATTTTTCAAGGCGGACATTTCGAAAATTAATGGTAACATCCAGAAAGGTAAACAAACCTTATATAATTTTTAAGGTTATGTTCTCCAAATGCTCAAATTTATCACATGTCTTAAGGCGTGTTCTTAAATTCCGAATTATTCGATAGATTCATCATAAGTGTGTTCGTTTAATAGAAATCTGAGCGCTCGTTCGCTCGGCAAAAGTTTGAGACAACAAATTTGCTCTGATGTTACCGTTACATATGATGTCTCAGTGTTCGATACTTAATTTACAAAGATGGGGAAAAATGTGATCGCTTAGCTTCGATATCAACTTAACGATCAGTCAGATTTTTTAAGTGTCATTTGTCATATTAAAAAAAGTTTTAGATATTTTTTAGAAAATACACTTTTGGTGAAATTTTTGACTTTTGTTAGCATAAACTATCTCTAGAAGAAAATTCACGACACATTCTTTTTGACACTACTCATTCTTAAATAGCTGAAAAAAACTGTTTGCATTAAAAAATAAAACGGTGCTGTTCTGGAAAATAACTGGCATAGATGATGTATGTATACACTCTTTGTGATATCAAATAATAACACGAATTTTCTCTCTCTCTAGCTAGATTATTGGACGTTGCTGCCTACTCGGGCAACGATTATGGACATACCTACTCGGGCGCATTTGTCCAGGCTTCTCCTATCAAACTGACATCAATTTGACAGAAGCTTCGTCGGGGTGGGGGGTGCAGCTGTGTCATCAGCAAATATTTGTAACTTACCAAATAAATTTACTCCAGCCAAAGAATTGAAATAATATATTGCAATCACATGTCTTACCTGAATTATTAGGATCTCTTCCTAAGTGATAAACAGCTGCATTCAAACCCACAATGAATGTGGCGAAAACACAAAATAAAACAGTGTTCATCTCAGAGCTGCAAAACTTTTTCAATAAATTCACTTAGAAACAATATTGTTTTTGCAAGATATTCGTGTTTGGCAAGAAATCTCAATGATGTTCAAAGGTTGAGGTCAAATAGTACATTTCGTAATCGAATAACATTTTTAGACTGATAATGGAAAAAAATTGCTTAATTTTGGACAGAAGTAAATAACCCCGAAACATAAAAGTCGTTAAAGCTAGGCAATCAGGTGACACGAATCGATAAATTCCATCAGCATAAAAATTATGTGCTCAGGATTCGATGAAGTCTGGCAAGATGGTAGTCAGTTGGCGAGAGATCTGGCGAGTATGGTGGGTGATGCAGAACATCGACGCTCAATTCGTTTAATTTTCGGACGAAGGTTTGTGAAACGTGGGAAGTGCTTGGGTGGCTCATCGGTATTCGACCACCACCCCGAACGTTTCCTGATGTCTTAGTAGATCCACTTTTCATCACACGTGACGATCAGATCCAAAAAGGGTCATTATGGTTGCATAAAAGCAAAAAAGAACAATAAAGGGTTTTACAAAAACCGCGACACGTGTTTCGCTATACAATAGCTTCCTCAAGCATAACGGTTTTTGTAAAACCCTTTATAGTGAAAATCGTACACTAAACTATATTAATTAGGTTTTAAGAAAGAACAATCTCGAAACGTGACAATTTCTGATTGATTCGGCCGTTACTTGATGAAGATCCATAGTAATTTCACAAACTACACTTAAACGATTTGATCTCCACTAACTTTAGTTAGTGTAAATGGTAAATGGTAAGTGGTAAATGCAATTCTTGGAATTGCATTTACCCTTCTGGGGCCGGTTT